TCCTACTCTAAGCTTTCCTCCATTCTCTGTCCTGGCCTTGCTTGTCAATATAGGTGGCATTTGGGCCTCTGCTTGTCTTTTGCTAGTTTTTTTTTTTTTATTTGGTTTAACATTCAGTTGGAGTAGGAATGCATTTCGATTTGATTTCTCTCAGAGAAACCTCACTTTCTCTAATTAAGAAGAAAGGTAGGTCTTCATACATTGGATTAGTTGATGAGATTTAGGTCAAGAGTGATCATGATTCTTGATACCACCCTGGGCAGAGCTAGCCATTTTGGTAGAAGAGCTAAAGGTTTTAACAATGTAGACGATTAATACTGGATCATTTAGGGTGGTTGGAAATGGTTCTTAGTACTTTAGCTATAAAAATGGAGGCAGCAGTTGCTATGGAAATGTGACAAGTTAAAATAACAGCTTTAAGTGAGCATGAAGAAGCAGTGAGGGTAAGACTGATGATTACGTGCTCTGTGTAACTACTCTTGATGAATGTTGAGTGCTTAATTTTCCTGATTAAATTTTTAAACACCATTTTTTTTGTTATCCAAAATGAATGGAATTTCTTATTCTCTCACTCTTGCTCCTGCTTGGTACAGTGATTATTTCTTCTCACATTGATTCCAAGGTAGATCTAAAGAAATACGTCAGTGTTGCCATATGATCTTACTAATATTCAGAGCTGATGTTTAAAATCCTGTCATTATAATTAAACCTCTGTGTGGGATCTAGGGGGAGTTGACAAAGCTGTTCATTGATGCTCTTTGTAAAATTCCTGGAAGGGAGCTATAATTTTAAGATGCATATTAAAAGTTATTCTCCAGGTGTCCTTGAGCTTGGCTGAGAACCAAGCAAAGGGAAATAAGCTTCTATTTCAGTAGGGACCTTTGAGTTCTAAGAAAAGAAAGATAATTTTTCTCACTGCAATGTGAGAAATGTGTTAGAATCTCCTTCCCTGGAAAGATTTCAGAACTGGGTAGTTGGACCAGATGTGTGTTGTCTGTCAGTTCATTGGGGAAACAGTTGATCATTGGTGATGGAGAATGGCAAAGGCGGCTCTTTAAGCCCTTGCATTCCACAGTAAAATGAAGTCATCAGGATTATTTCTTCTTTTTTTTTCTTTTCTGGAAACAGTCTCACTCTGTAGACCAGGCTGGAGTATAGTGGGTCAGTCTGAACTCACTGCAACTTCCACCTCTGTGGGGAACACTCCCGTGTGAAGCCCCTCATAAATTGGGCTACATGATACGGTGGGCTTGAGCCCCGATACAGAGTCTCCAGTTGGGGGACTTGAGCTATGAGGAAGTAGGAACAGAAAAGAGACTTAGGTCAAAAGATAAGCATTTACGGGCAATCATGCGGTCATAAGATGCATTGTATCTTAGTTCCTTCTCAGTAAACATGTGATTACTTTTACTAATCTCCTAAAATAGTAATGACTAACTTCTTGTTAAGATATCAAGTCACCTGCTTAGTTTGATTATCTAGTTGACCTTTTCATTGTATAATGAGACCCACCTACTCGGTTCCATTGTATATCTGATCTTTCTATTGTGCCCCTTTGATGATGTTGTAACTTGTTTTTCTACTTTAAGACTTTCTGTTTCCCTTATCTCACGAAACTATGCATTTAGCTGATTTAAGCAGGTAACCCCCAAAAAAGTGTATTTAAGTCGACCCTGAGCACAATAAACTTGTTGGTAAAGCATATGCTTTTTAACCCTCCAGACGCCTTTCTGTTCTGTCATCTTTGTCTTCCGCGCACACCCCTATCCAGGTTGGAAACCTCTTGCTGGACAAGAATTCCTGGCAGATGTGCCCCAAAACTCCTGGGTTCAAGCGATTTTCCTGCTGCAGCCTCCTGAGTAGCTGAGACTACAGGTGCGTTCCACCACGCTCTGGCTGATTTTTTCGTACTTTTAGTATAGACGGAGTTTCACCATGTTAGCCAGGATGGTCTCCATCTCCTGATCTCGTGGTCTGCCCACCTTCGCCTCCTAAAGTGCTGGGATTACAAGCGTGAGCCACTGTGCCTGGCCATCATCAGGATTATTTCAAGATTATTCAAATATAATGATATGTAAATGATTATAATGTATATATATATAAATTCCTACCAAAATAAGCATGCAAAATTTTGGACATTTTATATTATTAAGACTTTATTGCTTAAAGGATTTTAATATAAATCAATTTTTTCCTTTGACTTGGAAAAAAAAAGAAAAGGAAGGAAATAGAGGAAGAAAAAAGAAAAGAAGAAGAGAGGGGGTTCTGGGTTTATATAGCTACACAAAAGAACAGAAGTAATTTTTCTATTGATTTAAAAAATTGCTTCTTGATCTTGTTGGTTCTAGCAGTCATTACTAATTATGAGGATAGACGAAATGAATGACCCTGTAGCCAGTTCATAGATATAGCCATTCCGCCATGCTAGGAACAGTGTGCCCATGTACGCCTGGATTTTTAAATTTACATAGATGGGTTTTAATTTATAATTCACAAACATTTATATTTAGAAAATAATAACTTGTAGTTGTTACCAAGTAGTTGTACATAATGCTTCCTTTGAAAATAAGTATGTTGGCCAGGCGTGGTGGCTCACGCCTATAATCCAAGCACTTTGGAGGCCAAGAAGGGCAGATCACCTGAGGTTGGGAGTTCAAGACCAGCCTGACCAATGTGGTGAAACCCCATCTTTTTATAAAAAATAAAAAAAAAAAAAGTATGCATGGCCAGGCACAGTGGCTTACACCTGTAATATCAGCCCTTTAGTAGGCTGAGGCATACGGATCACCTCAGGTCAGGAGTTTGAGATCAGCCTGGCCAATATGGTGAAACCCCATCTCTACTAAAATTACAAAAAGTATTGAGGCATGGTGGCTCATGCCTGTAGTCCCAAACTACTCAGGAGGCTAAGGCACAAGCGTCATTGGAACCCTGGAGCTGGAGGTTGCAGTGAGCTGAGATCACACCATTGCACAACAGCCTGAGCAACAGAGTGAGACTTGGTCTCAAAAAAAAAGAAAAAGAAAAAAAGAAAGAAACTTAAGTGTGCTGGTTAATTTATATCCAAATAATTCATTTTGCTCTTGTTATAAATGTGACTTCAAGGATAGGGCAGCTTCACATAGCAAATACTCTCAACCTGAGTTTGATCTCAGTGGAGATCAGACTGTCAAGGTGGACCCCGCAAGTGCATGGTGAGAGCATTTTTTGAGGGTAGTGGAGGCCTTTACCTTCCCTGGGACCTAGGTCTGTGCGGCTCAAGTCTCTCTTCATAGTTCATGCCTTGATTACCACACTAAATGTGTCATTTAGCAAATCCTTTTGATAAAGCCTCTTTTGCACTTCAAGTAAAGAAACCCATTTCAGAGTGTCTTGTCTATTATATACCTGTCACTCAGTCTCCTTCATTTAATCAGCCATTGCCTTGGGTAGAGGTGGGGCTGACCTGAAGCAAGGTCACTGGTTTACTGGGTGAATATCTCAAAGGTGTTTACAAGTTACTGGGCTGGGAGCATTTTGGGGGCAAGAACTGTATTTTTGACTTTGGATTCCTGGTAAAGAATCTAGCACAGTGACAATCAGTATTTGTCAAATGCACAAATTTGTTTCAGGTGCAGGCCTCCTGTCTTAGTTTTGCTTGAGCAACCCAGAATGCAAATAAGTGCCATTAATCTGGCACATGTTCTATATTCTAAGAAGTCAAAGGGAAACCTAAAGTGAGAAACATGAACATTTAAATATTTGATGTACCATCCTGATTCTAATTAATGCAGAAGCTGATTTGATGAAAATTGGTAGAAATCATGGCAGCAATTTTGCTCTGAACTTGATAAAGGGTTATATGGTGCTTCCTGCTCCTTGGGAAATGGCGGATGCTAGTGAACTGGTGTAACCTGGATTTTGTTTGTTTTCAAGGGTTGGAATTCTATGGAAACTTGAATTAATCGATTTTCCTGTTATAGTTACTTGAAGACTCAGGCCCTGGGGTCATAACCATATGGCACAAAGTGGGAATTAATTATGTGGCATTTTTTGATAGGATCATTCATTCATTCTGTGTATTTAACTTAGCACCACCTTGGGCTCCAGGTTTATATCAGTCAAATAGACATGGTATCTGCCCTGATGGAGTGTGCCTTGTGATGAACAAACAGCATCAATAAGTACACAAGAAAATAAATATGTCAGTGCAAATTGCGATATATGCTATGACGAAATTTCATGAATAGAATACAGGGAGAGCTAGAGAGGTGTGAGGTGAGGCTCACAGAGAGAGCAGAATGTGCAAGGTCACTGGGATGCAGTGGAGCTTGGCATGTTGAGGGTGCTGAGAAGCTGAGTGCGAGCCAATGTGCCTGGAACATGTTCAGGAGGAAGAGCGGGTATTAAGTGAGGTGAGAGACGCCAGCGGGGGCCAGGCCATGCTGGACTTTGTAGGAGGTACATGGATTTGGATTTTGAATCATGATGCAAAGACGATTATAATTGATTTAAACACGAAAGCAACTTTTGGTCTGAAAGCATTGAATGAATCAAGACTTGGACTCATGTTAGAGTCTTCTTAAGGTAAATATTAGAATTCTTAAGTTAGATCCACTTTTGTTCCCATGGGAACACAATTCTATATGGTCACATGATTGTGGGAAGATAGATTTTTGATATTCAATATTCAGGTAACATTTCATTTAGTTATATGTAATAAATCAAAAAATAAAGCAAATGCAAGTTGTTTCCAGTTGTAAAGAAGGCAGCTTCAATGTACAGCTTCCTGTTCTTCCGTGGAGACTGTAGAGGGGAAATTTTCTATGAGCCTCTGCATTTTCTGCATGTATTGTGAGCTAGTCCCTAACTGCTCTTTGTTCTGGAATACCTTTTCTTGGATGTTTGTATAGGGAGAACAATTGAAAGGTAGAAATCACGTCCCCTTTGTAGCAAAGGATAGGCTTGCTTATAGTATTGGAAAGCAGAGATAGTGTTTCCCCTCAGAGCGAAGGGCAGATATGTTTACTGTGCGACCCGCGGAGACCCTTCCCAAAATAATTCAGTCCGAGGAGCCGTTGGGCCGAGTCCAGGTTTATTGGGATCTGCGGGCAACTCGAGCGGGAGAGGGAAGAGCTGCACCCAGCAGCTGCCGGAGAGGGTTTTTATAGGGAGGCAGCCCGCATAGGTGAGGTGTCGTGGAGTGATTGGTGGCGGTTGGACATGGGCGGAGGGGGAATATTGTGGCGTGCAAGGGTTGGCTTAGCTTTTGGCGGGCTGGAGTGGGAGATGGTTGGTGGAGGTTAAACAAAGAAGAGGGAAGAGCCTTGTGGCCAGAGGGGAGTGGCTAGGTTTTGGCGGGCTGCTGTCGGGGCGTGTACGGGTTTTGGCGGGCTGACGCGGGAAAGCGATTGGCTAGTCCTGTTGCTGGGCAGACCAACCTCCAGAGGCGGCCTGCTGGATGTGGGATCCTGGATATGGGGGATGGGCTATTTCTACCCAACATTTACTACTCACTCTAAAAATCTGGGGCTCCTTAAGTGCGGGGTGTCTCTCCTGAAATGAAGCATGCTTCTGGACCTACCTACATTACTCCATGGGCAAGAGGAAATGACCAAGCATCTATTGATGCTTGTGCCACTTGCTGTGTGGTGAGTAATAAAGTCATTTTCTCTGACCCAGGAGTCTGTGTCTTCTGTCAGTATCCATAAAACTGGCAGGCTAACTAGTTAACTTCTAAGTGAGTAAAATCTCAGACCCTTCATAGTTCTTCACAGAGGCTCCTCAGCAGTCTGAACAGGAAGGTATAATGCCAGGCACGTGACATCCTAGTGCTTTGCAGCCTCTAAGATGTACAATTAGCATTTCTTGTCACTGTTCTTCTCCTCCAAAGTCACATCTTAAGTGTGACTTCTAGTTTAAAATATATGTGTGAAACCTACTAGCTACTAATTATTATGCCTTGAATATTCTTAACCAAGTGGGAGAATATTTCAACAACAGAAAGAATACTATGTTAAAATTTTAGGATCCTCAGGACATAAAATATATTACAATGATACTTGATTTAAAATTAAAAATATTGTATGTCTGAAATGTCACTTTTCTGAGAAAGGACACTGTTAGTCCCTTAGTGATTATCACATAAGACTCTCTCACGGAAATATGCTTGGTTCACAGAACCATTATTGTCACAATGCAGGATCATCACTGGCTTGGGCTCTCGCTTTCTCCTGACCAGGGACTTGAGGAGTAGGCACTGCCACTGCTCCCATAGGACAGTACCAGGCCCTGCTCTGGCAGCTGCAGATGTTCTATATCTGCAGTGTCCGATACAGTGGGCACTAGCCACAGGTGTCCACTGAATGCTTGAAATTTGGCTTGTTTAAATTGAGATATAAGTAGTATGGTGGCTCACGCCTGTAATCCCAGCACTTCTAGAGGCTGAAGCAGGAGAACTGCTTGAGCCCAGGAGTTCAAGACCAGCCTGTGTAACATATCATGACCCCCCCTCTACAAAATATAGAAATAAATAAATAAATTTTAAAAATTATATAATAGAGTTCAGATTTAGGGCAGAAAAACATTAGTTAAATGTTTCACTAATAATTCTTAAAATTGAGTATGTTTGGAATGATAGTATTTTAGATAGGTTAAATTGAAATACTGTTAAAATTAGTTTCACCTCATTTTTACTTCCTTTTAATGTGACTGCTAGAAAACTTTAAATGATATATGCAGCTCTCATTCTATTTCTATTGAACAATGCTGTTCTAGATACTTGCTACTCAAAGGGCGGTTCTCAGGCCAGCAGCATCACTACCATCATCATCTGGGAGCTGGTTAGGAATGTGGTATCCTACACCCCACCCCAGACTTACTGGGTCAACATTTGCATTTTAACAGAATCTCATGTGATTTGTATGCACTTTACAATTTGAGGAGCTGAGCTTCCCCAAGACTAGAATTGACTGGTTCAGCAAACTAAAAATATAAGATGACCAGTTAAACTTAGTTTTTAAATAAACAATAAGTTTTAAATACAGTATGTCCCAGATACTGCATGGAACATACTTATATTACAATTATTTGTTGTTTTTCTGACATTCAAGTTTAACAGGTTATCCTATAGTTCATCTGTCAGCATCACCTAAGACTAAACTTCTCTTGTCCAGACTTGCCTGTTACTTGAAATTCCACAGAATCAGGAAAAAAACAGAAAGAGAAACGGAGAGGTGAAGAGGAGAAGCTGGGTGAAATGAAAGAACGCAGAGAAGAAAAGGCAGTATGAGGAGGCAGTAGGAATTAGATGGGGCAGAGAAAGGCCGCATTTAAGGGCAGCGACTCTTTTTATTTTATAGTTTTTGTTAGCAACTTTCTTCCTTATTTCTGCGGTTCTCCCACTTCCCCCAGTTATTCTGCTTTATTTAATCAATAACAGGGCAGCTTTTTCTTTTTATTTTCTGTTGGGGTCCGCTGAACTATGCTGGAAGACAGTGGTGTGTGAGAGGAATAGGAACGTCTCGTCTCCTCAGCACCAAGACCCCAGCTTTCAGAGTCCATCATCTCTTTGAAGTCTCCCTTACAAATAGCCCTTTTCTGCCATAGGTACTTTGTCTTTGAGCCATCAAGGTTCCTAAGTGCTCCAAATAACACTTGACACTTCTCGTTTTGGAGGATTTTCTTCATTGTGGCATTTTAATTTTATTTATTTTTTTTTTCTTTTTAAGATGGGGTTTCACCATGTTGCTCAGGCTGGTTTTGAACTCCTGACCTCAGGTGATCCACCCGCCTTGGCCTCCAAAGTTCTTGGATTACAGGCGTGAACCATCATGCCCGGCTTAATTGTATTTTCAAAAAATATAAAACAACTCCTGGGAATGTTGTCATTTGTTTTGTTTTGTTTTTCAGGCTTTTTAGGGGAGTAAGGTGAAAGGAGAGGCCAGCAGGGAAGGAATAACAATAGGCACTCTATTCAGCTAAGCATTAAGTTAAGAAGAGCCTTTCACTGCAGGCACAGTGGCTCAAGCCTGTAGTCCAAGCACTCCGGGAGGCCGAGGCTGGCAGATCACCTGAGGTCAGGAGTTTGAGACCAGCCTGGCCAAGATGGTGAAGCCCCACCTCTACTAAAACTATGAAAATCAGCCGGGCGTGGTGATGCATGCCTGTAGCCCCAGCTACTCTGGAGGTTGAGGCTAGAGAATTGCTTGAACAAAAGGAGGCCGAGGTTGCAGTGAGCTGAGATTGCGCCTCTGCACTCCAGCCTGACAGAGTGAGACTCTGTTTCAAAAAAAAAAAAGAGCCTTTCATCCATGATCCCATTTAATCTTCACAACAATTAAGCACCTCTGTCCCCACTGCACATAAGGACACAAGGCTCAGGAGGGAAAATAACCTGCCTGGTGTCACCTTGCTTACTGGTAAGTGCTGGAGCTGGACAGGCACTTCAGCTTCTGACTCCAAAGCCAGCACTCCTCACCAGTGCTGTCCACACTGCTTGGCAAATGGAGGCTCATGAATGCAACAGGAAACTGTGAACTAGGACATATATGTAAATTTAGGGAAGTTCCCGAGATTTTTATTCACCTGAAAAATACATGTGAAAATAGATACTTCATAGATTTTGGGGAGAAATTAATAGCTTCCTGAAGTGTAGTAGTATGAAATATATAATAGTATGACATATATGTAGTATGAAGTATATAAAATAGTCCTAATAAGAATTATATGACAGTATCAAAACGATTCACATTTCTAAAATGAGCTTAAGTGGCAAATATATTTTCTTTAAAAATTGGCTCCTTAATAATCTTTCCATGAGATGAATAATTAAAAACCTAAATACTGGGTTCACTCTAAGCATAATCAGACCCCTTTCTTCCTCCTCTCCCCATGGAATACATTCTGAGAAAGCTGCCCTGTTATTGGTTAAATATGCTGTCCGTCACATGGCATGAAAAGTACTGCCTCTGCTCTGTTTGCATTTATGAATTAACAGATGTGCTTGCTTTGGAGAAACTGATTCTGTTCTTGATGGGCAAAAAAATCTTGTTTAGTGTTTCACTGATTTTTTTATGTATAGGATTTTCACTAACTTTGGAGCATATATTTGCCAGGAAGAATGTAAGGTGAGTAACTGCACATCTTTTAAAGTAATGCATTTGTGAAGTTCAGTGCAAGTATGAAATTGGGTGGCTCTGTAATTTCTTTATGCTGTTTCATATCTACATTTGTTTGTCATTCAAAATGGATAGCTAGATCATACAGGTAGCTACAAAAATATTGACCAGAGTTTATGCTTCAGGTAAAAATATAAGCTTTAAGAGACAAGGGTTATTTGTTTAAAACATCCAGTAGACTTTTGTAGTGTGTATCAAAGAATCTATGAGAAAATGACTCCTTAAATTAGTATTCAGATTTCTTTTATACTTAAAAGTAAATGTTAATTTCACAGTGTCTCCTGCCGTTATTATGTGAGAAAGAGTAAGAAAAAATGGAGAACCTCAGAAATACATATCCTGGCCTTCAAAGGAAGGGTGTTAAATTGTTTTAACTGTTAAGAGATGGCAATCATGCATGATATATAGTATGTAAAATTTTACATATGATAATAAGCAAAATTTCTGTTTCTATTTCTGTTGTCCCTTTGGTTTCCTTATATACCATATAAGGAACATTTAGAGTTGTTTTTTTTTTCTATAAACAATAATATTCAAAATCTGAAAAGCAATGAAGGTATGTCATGTCTCCCACTGACTCATTGTATGCCATCTCGACAAGTGCATCAGGGAAGTTTGTGTGAACACAGGAAACAGCAGCAAGCAGGAGAATCTGGCAAAACTCGGGTTAAAGACTCCTTAGTCAACAATTGATAAAAGCTATGCGTACTACAGAGGTTAACAGTCTTTATCTTCCATTGTTTCTGAATCAATTGGTGCTTTCCTTTAGGTTCACTTTTGAATAATAAGTAACTTATATTCCTTAGGTGGTTAAAACTTAGTACCTGGGTCACACAGAAATGACTGATTTGTGTATTACACCGGTAAAATGTACACCAAGAATTAGGAAAGTCCCAGTTCTGTTTTTAAGACAAAGATAATGGGCTTAATTTAGCTTTAGAAGCTTTAGATCTTAGAAATCTCATAAGTCAATGATCATTCA